TATTATCTGCGGCCTTAGTCAAAAATCGAAATGTATTTAATAATAGGGGGCCAAATTGCGGAAGAAATTTTCTAAGATTGTCTGTTGAGCTGATACATGGCTTAACCAAACATTCATATATTCACATAATAACTCACACCATATGTATATTCACATTAAGTATGCCATACATACACCTAGGATTATTCAAAACCAGTGTTAACAAAAGTTCAGATTATACACCAAGTTAGTCAAGGTTGATCGTACATGACCACAAAAGGTTCAAAGAGTAGTAAAGCAAAAGCAAGGCCTCTTGCGTGAGGCGACTCTAGTTAATCTCTCAAAACATGGTTTCTCATCGCTCACTGGGGCTGGGCTGTACATCCCGTTGTTCACCTATATACATAAATATAAACAGTGAGCTAATGCCCAGTGAATAATACCAGAGTAAAGAGGTTAATGAATGAGATTCGTTCATGAATAGGACATACTTATAATTTAAACAGTTGCACTACTATTCCCATTCATATCAGATTTATAGACCATAACGAGCAAAAACGACCTCGGGTCTAACACATCGTATTCATGTACAAAACGACCTCAGGTCCATCGCACACGAAACGACCTTGGGTCCATCTATACAAAACGACCTTGGGTCCAATACTCATTCATAGACCAATTTCAGGTCTAATGGATAATGGATCCATGTATCAATACCCATCGGTCCTTCATGTCATAATACTAAACGACCTTGGGTCCAACATTCTCATATTCATAGCTATGTGTCGCTTCCGTATTTATACTCAAAATGACCTTTGGTCCAATTAATTCTTTATTCAAAACGACTTCTGGTCCAATCAATTCTTTATTTAAAACGACCTTTGGTCCATTCATCAATCATACAAAACGGCCTATGGCCTAATTCATGTATAAGATGACTTTTAGTCTATCTTGTTAAACATTCCAAACGGCCTTAGGCCCCATCTATGTCCTTGTCAAATATACCAAATGGCCTTAGGCCCATTTTCCATTTTCACAACATTCATTTTACAGATTCTTTCATGAAACGGGATAGAATACTCATTCATAAGTTTAGAAATTATCACGTAGACAACATTTAGGAAATAATGTATATGCAAAAATATCTTTACTAAGATATTACTCATGGTGATCCGGTGCTTGATTCGCCCTTGCGCTTGACCCTACATAATTCATAACATATTGGGTCATAATTCAATTCATTCCGTTCTTTAAGTCGTATAATGTTCTGAGGCTTCTTTCATGCTCTTTAATTCATTTAGAATGTCCAATGTATGCCTAAGAGTGCTTAGAAGTGAAAGAGAATGGAAAACAAAATATAAAATGCCTTTACAAAATTTCTGAAACAGGGTCCTTCGCTTGAGCAGACCCTTTTGGTCTGCAAAACTTCTGGTTGCTTGTAATTTACGCTCGAGCGAGGTTTTTGACGCTCGAGCGAGGAGTCACGCAAGGTAGGGTATGCTCGAGCGCAGATTCGTCCGCTCGAGCAACTATGTTATCTCTGCAAAACTTCTGGGAGATACAATTTCATGCTTGAGCAAGGCTTTCCTCACTCGAGTGGACAAGCCGAATTCTGGGTTTTCCAGAATTTTGTTTGTAGTTCAAACTTATGTTCAAGGGTCCAAAGCTTGCAAGCTGATGCCAAAACATGGAAAACCATTATAAGACATGAGAATATGGAAATTTAAAACCAATTACTCAAAATCATGAACCTTTGTCCCAAATTCAAGCTTAAATCACAAGGTTGAAACTATGCATGAAATGAATTGTACTCTTTTCTTTTCAAATCTTCCCAAAACTCTCATGCATGAGATGAAAAGTAGTAAGATTATGAAACATCACCAAAAATGTCAATTATAGCTTCATGCATGAGGATATTTCCATGAAATTCAAGCTCAACTTGGTGATTCATGCATGCATGTACACAATTCAACTCAATTTTTCCATGTCAAAGAGATTCATACTTTCTTTGTACAATTACATTCAAATGAACTCAAGAATTAGGTGAATTCAACTTCTACATATTCTTATTACAAGAATCAAGGTTAACAATCATACCTATAGCTTGAATCTAAGTGTATTCTAGCTCAATTTTCCAATTCTCCTTCAATTCTCCAAGCTTTGAGTCTTAAGTCTTCAATTTTGTGTTCTCTCTCTCTAATCGTCTCTCCCTCCCTCTATATTCTTCTTGGTTGATTTGAGCTCAAGGAAGATGAGTTTCATCTCATGTCTCCATATATATATATAGTGGTGATTAGTTTATAACACAAATCTTGGATTAAGTCTCCTAATCATACATAAGATAATTTAATCAAAGACTCACTTATTTAATTTAATCTAATTATTCTGATCCGAATCAATTTCTAATTAAATTTTATCATAGGTTCTAAAAATTTTGCTAATTACGATGGTACAATAAATTTTGGTTTCTGACGCCTCTACGGCCCCTAATTTAAATTTTATAACAAAAAATCAAACAGATCTTCCTTCGGTGAACAGATAGAATTTCACAAACGCATATAATTATATAATTAACATTCAAAATCATATCAAGCTCATAATTATAAGCATGGTTAAGATTAATTAGCATAACATAGAGTTGGGTTGACACAAGAGGTTCTCCTCCTACTCATGAAGATGAGTTTAACTACTCAAATTCATGTAAAAGAGGTTCAAAAGGGGAGATCCGGTCCCTTCTTATATAGGAAACCATGCCTGGGCTTCTAACTCATAATAAAATCAATAAAAAGCAATTTCGACTTAGCCGAAATCAATATACAGGGCTCTACCAACTACAAAAAAGGGAGAGAAGAGAAAATTCAACTAAGTTATCAACAATTCAACAATAATGATCTTTGTGATCTCAAGAGAACTCCAGCAATAATAAAAAAAAGTAGCAGGGATAGAATATTGCAAGAAAGCCAAGGATGGAAGTAGGGATTACCTCTAAGCTAGTGAAGATAGAGCTCAAGCTGGTCACAAACTCCAATCCGAGCTCCCTGTGGCTAGTAGAGATCTCTAGCTCCAACTCTCCAAGCAAAGGGATGATGAAGATAGTCCAAGTGTATGAATATCAATGTCCAAATCTCACCAACTTTCACTTTGATTGATTAATTAATTACCTAATTAACTAATTTAATTAGAGAATAGAATTAGGAGTTTAGAACTAGGAATTGTGAAATGGAAAATTAGAGCCAGTCCCCAATTCTCTAAAATGAGGGGTTTAAATAGGCTTGAGGAGCTTGGAATATGCCATTGATCCCTAAGGATTCGGATGACATATTCTGAGATGCTAGGGACACCTCATGAAAGCCTGTTTGGTTGATGTCAAATAGCTTTTGCTGGAGAAGACTTGTTCGTGCGTCCATTTGTTGTCCGTCGTTTTCCTTCCAAAATTTGTTTGGCGGGACAAAAATGATTCGGGCATGCTCACTCGAACATAACTTGTTCGGACGTGCTCGCCCATCTCAAAGTTGTCCATCTCGCTATCAAAAAGTTGTCCGACTGTGCAAGTCTTGTCCGGCCAAAATTCTCAGAAGGTTTCCCTTATCTTGTCATTCATTATGGCTTTTCAAGTTCTCTTTTCTGAAAAATAGATTAATCATTTTGGAAAACACAACGCCAAGAATGGCCAAAATGAATGAGAAGGTATCACATGCCTTAAAAACATCTTTAAAATATGTTTTGAAGATCTGGAAAACTCTTTGGCCAAAACGGGTATAGGAAGGTTTGTCTCGCTTCATCCTTGGCTTGTTGCTTGGAGCGGTCTCTGTTTTCATCATCAAGAGCTCTTCATGGAGCGCCCAATCTTAAGGCCGGTCAAAAATAGGGTGTCTACGGGGAGGAATCTGAAACACTATTCCAAAGTAGAGCAGATGTCATTGTCGTTTCAAAAACTTGGAGGAGGTATCTGCAATTGTCATAACCTAAGGGGAGGTAAGTGAAATTTACCCTAATACAATTGGTTTTGTAGTAATTTAATCCATAAAATTTTCTTTCTTAAATAAGTGAGTCATGCACCATGCATATGCCATCTCTACATTGTAGATTGTATGTACTAATGCATTCATATAATTCCTGCAAGTTGACCATAATGGATGATTTTGGCCGATGTCATGGACACATATTATACAATTTTTTTCCGGGGTAAATTTGGAGGGGAAAGGAGCGAGTTGATCTTTTGACCTCCTAGTGAGGTTCATGAGTTCTGGCCACTGACCAACCCTAGCGAAGTACAAATTTTGTATTGTGTGCGCTAAAGAATGTATTAGACACCTAAAGGGTATGGTATGAACAGTCTGCTGCCTTTGTAAAATAAGCAGAGGACAATTAAATATTCAACATTCAATCTGACTCTGCTTTTTTTTTGCCTGACTATTTTCTGTACTTCTTGTTTATCTTGGAAATGAATGAAATTTTTTAAAACATTCTGATCAAAATCATGGTGATCCAGTGAGTCTAATTTTTGCACTAAAGTTCTGCTGGACAAGCTTCATCAAACTGTCAAATCTTTTTCCTGATACACTTAGAATGTTCATGGGTGAATGGTGAATGCCAATGACCCAATCTCACTCTTGCTGCTAAAGAATGTTGACAAGGCCTTGTTAAATGGGCCCAACCTCATTATAGGGGCTATGTTTGTATTTACAATTTTAGCACAATGCTTCTTGTAGCACATGGAAGAAACATTCTATGTTTTCCCTGTATATTCTGTCCTTTTCTGTTAACCTATCCTTTTTCCTTGGACTTATGTCATATGCCTGCTATTCTTTTTATTTTTTCTAAATCCTAGGAGAAACGGTGATTTCAAGATAATATCACATTACTTATATCTATCTCTAGTTTAAAATTTGGCTGCTTCTGAATTTATTTATTTATTTATTTATCGTTTTTTGAATAATTTTATTCGGCCAGGTACCTCGTTTGTAGTTTTAGATCTATTTAGGTATCTGTTTAATGCAAGCATTAAACATTGAATGTAGGGGCATCTCTGGTTGTAAATTCGTCATGGAAGAACCCTTCTGGGGAATGGCATGTGGGGTATAAGTTGTTGTATGAGCTTTTTACAGACACGTTGACTTCTCGTTTGAAGGTAATCCTTATGTTAGTTTATGATCAGTAGATATTTTGCATTAAATTTGCACTAAAATTTTGTGGACAATGCTTCGTTTTTAATATTTCTTGGACAGAAAGAACGAAAGAAAAAGTGGGATGAGAAGCATCAGGAAGCCATAGCTGAAGCTGTAAAGTGTCTTGATGAATTTGACAAGGTTGCTTCTTTTTATTTTATTGGGCACAAGTCTTTCTATATGAAATGCCTGAAAACCTCCTCATATTTTACTAACATGCAACAAATCAGGTAAAAGAATTGGCTTCAGGTTTTCGTGCACGAGCTTTATTTGCATCCAATTTTGTTGTAAAGTCATACACTTTGGTGGATGTATCTTATTTCACTGCAATTCTATTTTGTCTTTGTAGCTCTTTATGCCTTTTTTTTTTGGAGTTTCTAGTAAAAGGGTAGACAGTTCTTGACTTGGGTTTGTTTGGGTTCATTGTATTTGGATGCATAACTTATTTATTTATTTTTGATAAATAAACGAACTTTATTGAAAGAGTATCGAGATAATGTAAAGAATACAAAAACTAGCTTTAAGCTAGCAAACAAGAAATAAAACCATGAACAAAACAAACCCAACACAACGATTAAATAATCAAATCCTCTACAAAATCTACAAAAGTCAGCACATCTAGATCTACTGAAACCGTAACCCAACTATAAAGCATAGTAAGCAATCACCTCTCCAACCATGGCACCTTAAAATGTGTTTATTCTGCTCCAACCAAATCAGCCACATCAAACCATGGCCAACAAGCATCCACGCCTTTTGACGCCTCTTCCCATCCTATTCCTATCCCAACCCAACCCAACCCAACCCTACCCCTAGCCCAACTTTGCAATGCCTCCACCACTGAACTTGGTTGCACCCAACCCAAACCAAAAATAGTAATGATGGACATCCATAGCCATGAATAGGGCTGCAAACGAGTTGAGCCGAGCCGAGTTTTACTATGTTTTTTGCTTGTTTATTAAGATTTTAACAAACACGAACTTGAGCTCGAGCTCGAGTTCAATAAAAATTTAACGAACCGAGTTCGAGTCTGTTCAGGAGCCTTAATGAGCCAAAAAGTTTATAAATTTATATTTGCATATGAGACTAAAGTTACAATTGAAATTTTGATTATACAATGATATATACAATATATATAAACATACAAAAAAAAAAGTCAATATTTTACCAAAATAATAATATCTACTACCACTATTATATAAATGTACTTTTATAGTTAGCTATTATTTATATTTATATTTTTTAAATATATAAATACCATATTTATCTGATTTTTTATACATATTTTTACATTATTTAATATATAAATAATAAATATTAAATGAGCCAACTAATGAACCGAGTCTTAGAATGTTTGGGCTTGTTTAGTAAAAATTTAACGAGCTCGAGCTCGAGCTTGAACGCAAACAAAATTTAACGAACCGAGTTCGAATGAGCTCTTACCGAGCCGAACTCGAGCTTGTTCATGAATGGTTTTGTTCATTTGCAGCCCTAGCCATGAAGCAACCAGACAATGAATAAGCAAATGATTCACCGTTTTCGCATTCCCACAACACAGACAACACCAATTAATTAAAATATGACTCCGACGAATTAAATTATCAATGGTCAAAATCAGCCCTAATATTGTTGTTCACACAAAGAAAGCAACTTTGGACGGACATCCCACCACCTAAACACCCTTCCATGGGAATGGAACAACATCCCCACTGACAAGCAAATGATAAAAAGAAGCCACCGAGAAACACCCCTTTGGACTTTGGCAATCCCATACCAGAGAATCCTCCCCATTCCGCCCAAATCGTAATCCATACAGGAATCCCAACAACTCCATCATTTGACCCAATTCCTATTCTTGCAGCTCATGGCGCAAACCAACATTCCAAACCACCACCTGTCCTTGCACATGCGCATAAGATGCCACTGTCGCCTCCCGATCAATTGCAATTCGAAATATCAAAGGAAATAACACCTCCAAAGACGCCGCACCACACAACCTATCTTTCTAAAACCTAACTTGATCCCCCACCCCCACCCTCACACTGAAACAAACTATTTTCCAAAACTCCTCCCGACCTAGCCAAAACCCATTCCACAAACTTTGCCCATGACTCTGCCTCACCTCTCCAATACTCCACTCCCCCTAACCCAAACCATATTTAGCCACCACCACCTTCCTCCACAACCGCTCCCTTTCCTTCCCAAACCGCCACAATCCTAAAAGAGTCAAATTAAACAATACCAAACTTTGAACCCCAACCCCCCTATAGGCTTAGGAACACAAATTCGATCCCAATGCATAACTTATTGTTTCTGCTGGCTGCATGGCTGCTCAAAATTTTGCACCAGCTGATATTGTGTAATACAAAGCAAAGTTTCCGTACATTCTGACTTGGAAGATGTTGTTAACTGGCACGACCTTGTCTACACATGCTTGTGTTTCCTATGCGTGTATTCTATTCCTGTATATGATTTGTTTGGAATTGCTTGTTTGTAGAAACATGTAAAAGTCGAGGATGCTAATTTGAAACGGGCTCGTGAAGACCTCCAAAACAAAGTTGATTTTCTGCGAAAGCAAGCTGATGTCAGTTCCAATTTTCTTGGATTGCTTTATTCCTTTTGCATGAATCTCTAATAATGCGTCTCTTATGTCTATAATTTTTGTCTTGCTTTTTATGTTTCAGAGCTATGATGACAAGGGGCCTGTTATAGATGCTGTTGTATGGCATGATGGAGAGCTATGGAGGGTTGCTCTTGACACACAAAGTCTTGAGGATGATCTTGAGCGGGGGAAACTTGCTGAATTTGTCCCCCTAACTAATTATAGGTTTGTATGATATGCTAGAGACAATGCTATACAACTGAAGTGTTTTAACTTTAGTCTGAGTTAGGGCAGTAGAATGATTTAGTAATTTACACAGATGAATAAAGAACTGCAATTTGCCTTCATTTGGTACAGTTTTGATTGAGATTGAGTATTTGTGTTTATCTGTTGTACTTATTCAGTTATTGGAAAGGAAAACTTGAATAATGAGTATCTATCATTGAGCCAAACAATAACAATAAAGTAAAAGGGTAAAATAAAAAATGATGCAGAGCATGCAATGACAAACTATGTTACACGGACTCGTCAAAATAAATTAAATATCCGTGTCGGACACCCGACACTCGAATAAGGGTATGTGATATGTGTCGGATACTTTTCAATGGATAATTCTTATATAATTGTATATAACACTATTATTATATGTACATATTGTTGTATAATTGTTATAAATGCCTTTTTGACACTGTAAGTTACATATAACACCATTTTATCTCACATAATTCATTAATTTATAAAAATATGGCATTTTTTTTTACCGAATCCGCGTACCCTTAAATTTATAGTTTGATAAGTCCAACCTTTGGATACATACCCACACTCGACACCCATATCCGAGTCCATGTAACATAGATGACAAATAAGGGCAAGGGCAGATTAGAAATTTTACATGGTTTCTATTTGGAACCTTGTTTATCAAATTTTGGTATAATTTGAGTCTTATTTTATGTTTATGTAGTTTAGTTGGCTGCTAGCATAATCTTGTTTGTGTTGGTCAAGTTTTGATCTTAGAAGAATTTTGGTAATTTTTAGATTTGCTGGTTGGAGAATGGGTTTATGGGACGTGTTGCAGTGCAAGTTGTATTTAGGGTCTTATATATGATTTTTATTAGTTTTAGAATTATAGTAACATTATAGCATAACATTTCTGTTCAAGAGAGAGTTGGATTTTGGGAATGTGTGAATTTTTTTTTTCAAATATGTGTGATGTGTTACGCAGACTTTTGTTAGGGGGTGATTCTTAAGGAATTCTAGTTGGAATTTCTAGCTTATTGTTCTTGATGAACCAAAATTAGAGAATGGATATCACTAGAGAGTGAAAGTCCCAAATTGGGATATTAGAGCACTAAGCTTTGAATTTACAACCTTAAAATGTCATAAAATGACTCCTAAAGGCAAACTAAGCCTTCTAAACACAATATCCACCACTCTAAATCGTGTTACATCAGTTTCTTCTTATTCGACAATTGTCATTTGTGTTTTATTGTTCACAGCTCTAGAATAGCTTCAATTTCAGCACCAAAAACCTACTACATGAAATCTAAATTAAGTCTATCTCCTTTCTACACCCATTGGCCCCCAATTCCCTGCCACAATATTTTACAAGGTGGTTGTCCAGAATCTTTTATCAGCCAATCTTTTGTAATCCAGCAACCAAACAATTCGAAAGCCATGACCAGTTTTTACCCATCTAGCAACCCAGGAAGCATCCTCTATCTTATGGAACTCCAATCCTAAAGGCTTCACTAGCCCTAATGCCGCCACAACCCAACTGTGGGCAGCATTATCTTCACCCTATGCTGCATCAATAAATAAATACATCGAGGCATGTAATGGCCTGACCCTAATTCATGAAACTGAATGAATAGTGGGCACTCCATGAAATGCTTCTTGTATATCTGCATTCTGCACCATTTTTGAACAAAACTATCGGTGGGCACTCCATGAAATGCTTCTTGTATATCTGCTCCATTTTTGAACAAAACTATCTATCTTTGTATTTCCCCATTCTCGTTGATATGCAGTTTCTAACCCTTTTATAAATTCTCTCTAATTTAATAATGATGCACGAGTGATGCAGTACGCAGTAGAAGAAAGAGAGGGAAATACTGGAAGAAGAGGGCCACAAGCCTTAACACAAGGACACAACCTAGAACACTCTCAATTCATTAATTCCAAGCTAAGATTATTATGCAAATACCTAATATTTATAGGCTAGAGAACCTAATCAAAATAGGAAACTAAATCATAATCTAGACTCCTAATAAAACTCAATCAAGTTGGGAAACTAAATCCTAAAATAAAAGGAAGCAAATATTAACAAAGCTCCTAACCAAAATAAGACTCTTAATTAAACTAAAATTAAATAAGAAAATAAAAAAAAATAAAAAAATAATAAATACTAAAGACAAATTTCCATGCATGCATGTTCTGCGTCATTCTCCCTGATTGAGAAAAAGAACTCATTCTCGAGTTCTCCATTAAGTATTGAACTCATCCACCTCAAAGAATCAAATACTTTGAATATGTGACTTGCTTTGTTGTCTTCCTATGCCAACTACTTTTGGCGCCCAATGTGTTGACAAGATCAACTAAACTCTAAATACACAAGATTTTTTCAATACCAATCAAATCAATTTATTCGAACGTGACCAAGTAGTTAGTGGAGAATCAATAGGATCTGACCAGTTGAGTTCATTTGTAGGTTCAAGAGGCTCTTCTTTCGGTAAGAGTATTATATGTGTGGGAACAAGTTCTTGGATTTCCAAATTCTCTGCTGGGTCAACAGGTTCCACGTGGTCCTTACTAGCACACTGAGGAGGTTTAGAAGTATTTTCTAAAACAAACTTTATCCAAAAGATGATTTTGTCTTATCCAAAGTTGATCGTGTCTGTGCCAAGGAGGCCTTAAGTACTTGTACAGTTTGATGCAAGGCATCAAATTTTGAGTATATCTTTTCGTTGGTGAACATGGTTAATGGGGTAAAAGGATTTTTTTTAATTTTATTTTAAAAGGTACGTGAGTGTGTCTGTGTTGTTTTGCAGGTTGTGAGGATGATTAGGGCTGAAATTTAGTGAGGTTGTTGGCCTGTTTTAATGTGGATTCCGGGCCAAGCTTCACTTAATATGAATTGTGGGCTGAGAGGGCTGGCCTGGTTATTGTGTGACTTTGGACTGGTCTGGCTTCTATGGTATTCTAGTGTGCTGGGTTTCGGCCAAATATATGGTTTGCTAAGACTTGAGTTTGAGGTTTTGGGTTGTGGGCTGTGGGTTGAAGGGTTGGGTAACAGGTTAAACAATTACCATTTTGGTTGTCTTCTCAAAAGATTGAAGTTGGTGATCGATGAGGTGGCGAGTGACGGCGAGGGTTGATCAAGACGACAACGATGTCTACCTACGAGTGAATCTCAACTAGATAGCTTGACTACTGGTTGACAATTGAGAGAGGGAATGTGGGTCATCTTCCTCAAGGTGCTCGATCGAGCCCTAGGGTTTGGTAACACGCAAGGCTATAAGGGAACACTTTTGGGAACTTTGACGAGGGTATGAGGATACTTCGACGAGTGGTTGTTGACGGCAAAGTGGCTTGTGGTTGTCAATGGCAACAATTAGTGATAGAATTTTTTATTTTTATTTTTGTTTATTCATTTATTTTTGGGTTCGATCAACTAGGACGTTTCAAGAAGAAGGCAACCTAGCCGATTAAACAAAAAGACAGATCAAAGTTGAGTTTTGGTACCAAAATGATGTAGTATGTAGTAGAAGAGAAAGAGGGAAATAGAAAGATATGAAAGGAGAAGGGGAAGGAGAGGGACACAACCCTAACACAAGGCCATAGCCTAGAACGCTCTCAATTCATTAATTTCAAGCTAAAGATTACAATGCAAATACCTACTATTTATTGGCTAGAAAACCTAATCAAAATAGGAATCATAATCTAGAGTGTTGATAAAACTCAATCAACTTAGTAAGCTAAATCCTAGTATAATAGGAAGCAAATATAATAAAGTTCTTAACCAAAATAAGACTATTAATTAAACTTAAATTAAACTAGAAAATAAATAAATACTCAAGACAAATCTCCATGCATGCACATTTTGCATCATTGAGCTTTCATTGCACGAAGAGGGGGTGGGTCGAGGGCACGTTGAAAGGTCCGGAGTGCTTGTTGGAGTGTTTTATACTTTATATATAATATAGGAAAAAGATTGTGATCCACAATTTACCCATAATGGCATGACATGTTATGTGTCAATAATTTATGGCTCAACTCCTTGCTAGGTCATTGTGTTTATTAAATTGTGGGTCTTTAGCATTCCTTTATAATATATTAATGAATTGTAATAAATATATATTTTTGCTTAATTGTAGTATATATGTTAAAATATTAATAAATATTTGAGATTGATGCAACTTTTTTTTATTTTTATTTTTTGGATCGGCAAAAGTCAGTGGTTAGTTGTTAGATTAGCAGCTCGGGGGAGTTGAAACTCACGCACATACACCTTTTAAAAAAATCCTGCTCTCCCATTCTACTCATAAGAATGGAACCCAAGGCCTCCCTTAAGAGAGACTTGGTGCAACCTAAGAAGCACAGACACTTTTGCAAAAGAAGCATGTCGTGTCATACGCCTGTGTCAGACACTCCTAAAAGCATGTCTGACACTTCTTTATCGTGTCTTAAATAAAAAATCGAATTCATAATATTAGATACATTGGTGACACTTTGGCAACACTTATTGAACCGTCCAAACACGTCCTATGTGATGAATCCATTCATGACAACAATGTTTTACACTCTTCAAACCACAACTTAAGCACTTTAAATATGTTTTGAAATATTTATAAGATAAATACATCATGTGTATTACAATGTTATATAATTATTTTGCATTCTTTAAAATGTAATTGTTAGTTTGTTACATGAATGATATCTTGATGTTTAAGTTATGAAATATGTAACTTTTTAATGTAATTAGTGTTGTGTTACATATTGTTCATTAAATTATTCATATATGTGAGGCATAATCAATTTGTAAAATTATAAAATTTTAATTCTTTTTTGAAAATTGACGTTTCGGCGTGTCTAAGATGTGTTGTGTGTCATCGTTTGTGCATTTAGGTGTCTACTGTAAGTTGGCAAATTGGCTTTTGAAATATAAATAAATATAATGTAGATACAAAGTATTGTAATAAATTTGAGTTAATTTGTTTGTATAATTTGATGGCTTTTACAATTGTTTATTGGCTGGTAGCTACACTTCTGTTTCGTTGAGATTCATACATTTGAGAGGTTCAGTTCTAGTTGGGAATGCAGTTTTTTTCTATGGGAATGAGATTCTAACTTGATTCTGCCTTTGAATATCGGAATTGTGATTCTGGAGTGGACTTGTCACCACAGTAGGAGGTTTATGCACTAAGACATGAGCACATATATTTGTGTCTATGCATACATATTTATGGTGGAAAACAATATGTGATGCCCTGATCTTTGTATATTCCTGTACTGTCAGTTTTTTTGTTCATATTTGGAGCTGTAAACCAAAAAAATTATGCCTTTTGTCCCACACTAGTGGGTAGGGGTGTTTTCGGGTTGGTCGGGGTTGGGTTCATCCCTAGCCTATCCACCGAATCAAACATGTCAGGTTTGAAAAGTCATCACCCAGTGTCGACTGTCACAATGTTCGAAATCACCAAGCCAAACCATTTGGTTTGGTGGTCGGACTGGGCAGGCGATTCAGCACCCATTTCTTTTTCTTTATGCCGCTCTTAGCATGTAAACATACCTGAAATCAAAGATATATACAACTCATATTTATATAATGATAATGATTCAATTCTATTCACCCAAAAAATTGATTCAATTCAAATACAATTCTCATACAGCCAGATCCTATAGAATGGAAAAAAAGAAAAAATAGGGACAGAAGGCACACCCCAATTGCAAAGACCATGCCACCATGCATGAGTGTTGTGGCTGGTCATTGGTTTAGAGAGATTAAGATAAAGCTTAAGCTTTTTTGTGTGAAATTTCATCAGTCATCTTCATCTTCATCTTCATCTTCATCAATCCATGTACTTTGCCACAAGGGTTTTGGTAGACTTGATAAATTAAGAAATGGTTCAAAGACAGAAGGGGTTGAGAGAGAGTAAGAGGGAGACGAGAGTGAAAGGGTGAAAGAGAAGAGAGATGAAAGGGTTAAGGGTTGAGGGTCTGTAACAGAGAGAGAAGAAAAGAGACGAAGGGTCTGAGAAAGAGAGAGAATAGAGTCGAAGGGTTTGTAGAGAGAGTAATGAGAGGGTGAGATGGAGAGAGAGAGGAAAGATGAAGGGTTTGTGAGAGAGGGGGGGGGGAAGATGAAGGGTCTCTGAGAGAGAGAGAGAGAGAGATGAAAGGTCAGTGAGTGAGAGAGGGACAGTAAGATAGAGAGTGAGAGAGATGAGTGAATTGTGTGGATGGGATAGATTGTCTTGGGAAGTGAAGAAAGTTTTGAATTGGAAAGAGTTGAAATAATTATTGCTGTGAGGGAAGTGTACAACCTTTGCCTTGGGAAGACAAAGTTCAATTTATCAAGAAATGGGGCAGCATTGTGTGGCCTGTAATGATCATTATATATGTACATACAAATAATTTGGACCGGTTGGGTTGAATGAATAATTCTCTATTGAATTCGATGGCCGACCGAAATTTGAACTAATTTTATGAATTCCAACCGTTGCTGTCCGATACAATGACGAAACCGTCCGTAGTGGGCTCAGGCTGGGCGGTTTGGATCGGGTCCGTTGGATGGTTCGGATTATTTTTTGTGAAGACCACATGAATTATTTTTTGTGCCATTGTGTTATATCAAGTGGTATATGCTCAATTAAATAAAATAAATTCATATAATTTTTTACTACCGCATCCATTTCTGGAGCTGTAATAAACATTTTTATTGTCTTCAGATTTCTATACTGTTTAACGGATTTTATTGAACAAACTTTTCAGGGTTGAACGAAAATTTGGTGTTTTCAGCAGTCTTGATGCTTGTTCATTCGTTGCTAATGTATATGATAAAGGGAATATTTTAAGTATTGTAACAGACTGCTCTCCCCATGGCACTCATGTTGCTGGTATTGCTTCGGCTTTCCACCCAAAGGTAAAGTTGTAGACCATTGATAAAGATTTAAACCTTGTGTTACATTCTTATCACAAGAAACAATATTACCTTTTGAAATTTGGTATAATATGCATAGGAACCTCTGCTGAATGGAGTTGCACCAGGAGCACAGTTAATTTCGTGTAAAATTGGAGATGCACGCTTAGGTTCAATGGAAACTGGAACAGGCTTGACACGTGCACTGATAGCTGCGGTGGAGGTATGTCTTTTTCGTCTGGTTTAGGAATAGACTTATATGAGATTAGTAGCAGTTGGGATCTTTTTTTTGCCTTGTTAAGAGTTTTCTGGTAATTATTACTGCTTTGTTGAATATCTAAGATTCTCAAGAAAATGGATGTTGTAGGTCTTCAAAAATATGGAGTGGTCATATGTCTAGTTTTTACTGCATATTTGTTGGATTCTGTACCAAATTCTTATGGTTCAGGGAGTGAAAAATGACTATTTGACAATTATTTTTGCAATGAATAAAAGTTTGTTTGCAACTCTTGTACGTTCGATGTTATATGGTTCTTTAGATATTAGGAACTCAATTTCCTTTATGTTTTGTTTGGTTTGGTTTGGTTTGGATTGGATTGGATATATCTTTATTATTTTTGATAAATTAGTAGAGCGTATTTGTATTCTACACTATATCTTGAACATTGAGATAACAAAGGCATTATCTAGTGTCAGTTCCTCATTTTTTGAGGTGCTGGAAAAGTAGACTGGGCATGGAATTATTGATGTAGCCCAGTCTTCACAAGTATTTTGTTAAACACATGACAGACCAATATACATGCTGAATTTTTTTTTTCTCCACATAGAGTGAGAGATAGAGATGGTGATGTAGAAGAGAAAAGAAGAAAGCATATAGGAAGAAAGAGAGAGAGAGGGGCTTAGCTTAGCTCATCTAAATATTTAATTTTTATTCATTCCAAAACACCAATTCATTCTTCCCTTCTCTGAGTATGCCCATTTTATTAGCTGTACAAAACCCTAATTCATCATCTATTCATTACGTCAACAATTTTATCCCAAGATTCCATCACTAGAACACCAAAAATATCTGAAAATAAGAAAATACAGCAATATAATCAAGAAAACACTCTTAATAAAAATTTTACCACTCCGTTGACAGCTTGATTTGAATCTTGCATCAACTAGGTTGCATCACTTGACCTCTAGTTTTTATTTGCACAACGAGGCTTCCCTCGAACTTAAACTGAAATTTGTGCTTAATAGCCTGATCTTGGCAATCAAGATATGGCATAAGAAATTGGCTTATTCAAGTACCCTATCACCTCAGATGTCATTTTGATAGAAAGTGGGTTCTGTTTGTATATTTCAAAGGTTTTTGGAAATGATTGAAGTTCAGTACTGAACATTTTAGTGAGGCATTAATTATGCCTCCTCACAAGCATCAAATCAATGCTTGGAATTGGCATTTGTTATATTCTTTCGAGATGTTCTTTATGGTTTTCTTGTTTTCCTTTTTTGTGCTTTGTGATTATTATTATTTTTTGTCTTTTATTTGGATCGTATCATGTGTTGTTTCATGCAACACAATCATATGTTAAGTAAATTAATGGAAATTGGCATATGCGTGATATTAGTTAAGCCTAAATGAGGATGTTAAAATTTGATTACTGGGAACATAAGGGGATGTCCATTATTTCTTAACGATGCCAGTTGGTTTATTTACAGCACAAATGCGACCTCATCAACATGAGTTATGGTGAACCAACATTGTTGCCTGATTATGGACGTTTTGTTGACCTCGTTGATGAAGTAACAATACTACCCTTGCAATTTTGGTGTGATTGCTCTATATCTTTTCGTTTTATATTTTGTGCGCTATTGATTCTATAGATAACACCGTGGTTGAACATTTAGGTGGTGAACAAGCATCGTCTAATATTTGTCAGTAGTGCTGGCAACAGTGGCCCAGCATTGAGTACTGTGGGTGCACCTGGTGGTACCACTTCAAGCATAATAGGAGTTGGTGCATATGTCTCTCCAGCTATGGCTGCTGGAGCTCACTGTGTAGTTGAACCTCCTTCTGAAGGGCTTGAATACACCTGGTATGGTAACTTCATTATGAAGGCAATTTTTGAATTTTCTGATCAGTGAGCAGTTAATGTTTTGTTTTGTACTTTTAGCTTATAAGTGGAGTCCTTTCTCGAGGTTGTTCATTCAGGATATTATTATTGTACTTGCTGTTATTGTAGTTATTTTCAATTTTGGCATTTGAATCGCACTATAATTTGCTGAATACAGGTCTAGCAGAGGACCAACTGTTGATGGGGATCTTGGAGTCTGTATAAGCGCTCCTGGTGGGGCAGTGGCTCCTGTCCCTACATGGACGCTTCAACGACGTATGCTTATGAACGGAACTTCAATGGCATCTCCCTCTGCTTGTGGCGGAGTTGCTTTACTCGTTAGTGCCATGAAGGTTATTATGATTTTCTTTCCTTTGCTTTTGTTTCTTTTAACTCCCTCTCTTAGTGTCATCTACATTGGTTCTTTTTATCATCGACAACATATAAGCATAGAATGTTTGCTGGATCAGGCCGAGGGCATTCCAGTGAGTCCATACATTGTAAGGGAAGCTCTTGAGAATTCATCTATCCCTGTTGGTGTTTTGCCAGAAGATAAACTAACCACTGGGCAGGGGCTTATGCAAGTTGACAAGTTAGATTTGCTAATCTTGGCCTTTGTCTTTTAATTGAAAATAGAATGGACCTTGTAAGCTGAGATGTATGTTTATAATTAATTGCGTGACAGGGCACATGAATATATTCAGAAGTTGCATAAAGTCCCATGTGTTAGATATCAAATAAAGATAAATCAAGCTGGTAAATCAAGTGAGTGAAGTATTTCTTAATCTATCCTGCACGCACACATCTGTATTCTGATCATTATGCGTCCATTACTTATAGTCTGTGTTGCATGTTAGTGGTAAAGTTATGGAAGAATGTTTGTGCATTATACATGCAAATGCAAATCTTACCAAAAAATACATGTGGGTAGAGTGTCTTTTTTTATTTTATTTTTTGCTTGTTCTTCTTTTCTTTCTTTTAACACATAAATATGTGGAAATTTAGTGATTTTGAATATATTATAGCCTTCTAATGACTAGAGTCAAGTCCATATTTTATGGGTACACGAAGGATTCTGCAATTGATTCATTAGTGACCGAGGCTTTTCTAGTCGCTTCGATTAATTGTGTGTGGTCTTTCTTGAATGAAATTAACCTTTTGGTCATAATGAATTTTTTGTTCAGCCCCTACGTCACGAGGCATCTATCTACGGGAGGCTAGTGCTTGCCAACAATCAACGGAGGTGAGAACATAAACATGTGGGGACTTTGCTGTAATTATTATGTTTCTTAGGTTGTGTTTGGATCATGGATTTGGGTAGGGAAGAAAAAGGCAAGGGAAATAGAGAAAAAAAAACCAGCTTATATTTCATTTACATGTCCTCACCTGTTCCTTTCTTTTTTGAAATCTCTACCTAAATTCATGATCCAAAAATGGCCTTAGTGAGTTTCCAAATACTCCTAAAATGATTTACTGTATGGATATGCTTAACTTGTTTACTTTTGAGTCACTTTTTGAATTTTCACTATTCAATTAAGATCAATCTTGTTTATAGTTCATTTTTGCTATCTTTAATTTCTCAAGAATGCATTTTTTTCCCCCTTTTCTTCATCATTATGCATTCTTGTCTTGCATCATATTTATGTTTGCTAATGGGATAGATGTCATGAACCATGAGACCAAACCTTAGTGATGTAGAACGGCTATCAAGAAATCTGTTTGACAAACTAATTGATTCCATAATCATAAATTATGGATAATAATTAATCCAAAAGAAAAGATCAAATTTATCGAGAAGAGTAAGAATAGAGAAAGAAGAAGAAGATGGGTCAAAATCCTAATATAAAAAATGGGCCACAACCTTAACTCAATATTATTATTCTCAAAGCTAACTTAAAAGTATTACATAAAGCCATATATATAGGTAACATAGGAAACCCTAATTACAAATAGGAAACTAAATCATAACATTATTTGGAAACCTATTCTCTAATAAAATAAATAAACTAAATATCGTAAGATCCTAATTAAAATATGAATACAAAATAAATAAACATAAATATAAAATTACACATAAATATAATCTCCATATCACGTTCTGCATCACTTTGACTCAGGCCAAAAACTTATTAAAAGGAAAAAAGAGAGACGAAAAAAGATTTATACTGTTTTCTTTATGTCTTTATATTACGACAAAATGATTGCAAACCCTAAGTGTAGGTTATCACAAGTAATAATTTCTTAGTGAATCCGAGGTCAAACCACATGGAATGGTTGATGCTATGTATAATTCCTATTAGTGTGTAGAGAATAAAAACAGTGAATTTGTTCCACTAGAAAGTGGAGCAAGTAATTATAATGCATTATAACTGAAGACAAGTAAACTTAGATTAAGAAAAATCAATGGAGACAAGCACTAGGGATTCAAGGGTCTCCTAGCATCATATTATATGAATTTGGAATTAGGAGAAAAATGAAAAGGAGAAAAACAGGACCTGACGTGAAATTGTTTTGTTTTCTAGTGGATAGTGTGTTGGGATTTTTTGTTGTAGTGAAATTCTTGCTAAGTTGAAGGGATAGTTATGTGGGACAATTATAAGATCAACTATGTTGTATGGTATAAAATGTTGAGTTGTAAAGGAATAATATTATCGAAAAACTGAGAGAAGTTGAAATAAGTATGTTGAGATGGATGAGTAGTGTGACAAGTCATGAATGCATTTTGAGATGCTAGATGTGAAGATAAATTGAGCAGAGGTCAACCAAAAGATAATTTGGCCATGGGAAGTGTAGACTCTAACTACATGTTGGGAAAGAGCGGTGATGTTATTGAAATGGAAGTCCAAAAGGATGGGGAAAGTTGAGGATATAGACTGAGGTGGTGAAAAGGATGCGATTGACTTAATTTTAGTTGAAAATATGGCTTTCAACTGAGCCTCCCGAAGAAAATGCGTCCATGTAGCTGAACCCAATTAATTGGGATTATTCCTTATGGAGTTGTGTTTATGCTGCATCATTGATACTCCGCAAATGACTTGTTGGCAATCTAACATAATAGTATTCATCAAAATTCAAATAATTAAGAATCTATCTTACTAATTACTGATGACTTTTTTGTTTCAATTACTTTTTCTCAAGTGTCAACTAGTATCATTTTGTAGATGCCATTTGCAAAATAAGGCCATATAGGCGTACCATTGTTAGCTTGTTAGTGATTTTACCCGTTTCAAATAATTTTCTTAAGTACAAATATTTGTAGAATACGCTGTGTTACACCAGCAGCAATGTTGTATGGGATGAAATGTTGGGCAACTAAGAAACAACATATAGATAAGATGAGTGTTGCTGAGATGAGGTTGCTAAAATGAATGTGTGGCAAGACTAGAAAAGATCGAGTTAAGAATGAGTATATTTGTGAATGGGTAGGACCGATATAAAATAAGTTGAGAGAGAATAGGTTGAGATAGTTTGGTCATATACAACGGAGACCAACAGAGGTAGTAGTGAGGAGATGCGACACAGTTACAGTAGATGGAAATGGTAGGGGAAGGGGCAGACCTAGATTGATGTGGGTTAGTGTAGTAAATAGAGATATGAATCTCCTTAATTTGACTAACCAAGTAGCCCTTGATAGAGCCTAATGGAGAAGAAGGATTCATGTAGTCGATCCCATTTGATGGGGACTTAAGGCTTGGTTTGGTTTATGTTGTGCTACACCACTTTTTTCCCTATTACCTATAGTTTCTTTTAATTCATCAGTGAATTTGGTAATTGCAACTGGTATGCATGTTAGTGAGGTCACACAAGGAAAGAAAGCCATATAGGATGCCAATGGCGTTGCATTTGTTGTATATGCATAAATGGAATGTTCATTAAGACTTGCCTAGCCATCATTTCTACTGAAATTATGGTCTTTTGACCTCTGTAGGTAAAAGTATTTCTGTTGTCCATATTTTCTTTGTTGTTGACTTGTATCTTTTAGCGCCTAATGTGACTACATGCAGTGGACGGTGCAAGTTGAACCAAAGTTCCATGATGATGCTAGCAATTTAGAGCAGTTGGTTCCCTTTGAAGAGTGTATTGAGTTGCATTCTAGTGGAAAGGAATTTGTGAAAGCTCCCGAGTATCTCCTTCTCACTCATAACGGCCGCAGCTTCAAGTAAGTCAGCTTCAACTTGACTAATCTTCTGCATAAGCACTCATATACTATTACGGTGATGGTTGGAAGTGGAAATGCCAGAAGATAGGCCGTACCATGTGTTGATGTTGATTTTAGGAAATGTCAATAATTCGTAAGGTTAACGTGAGACTCGTGAAGCATGCTTGTACTTGTTATTTTTGTAATCTTACTTTCAAATGTCGCTTGAGCATTGACTGAACAATTATATTTTAATAACAATAGATGTTATTGTGTGCATACCTGTGCACTCATGTGTGCCTTAAAGAGGGGTATGCTATCAAGCTTGTGAAAAGACGGCCCACAATTTGGTTAGGCTGAATCAGGCACTGAGGGCCACATCTTGGATTATTTGGTCTAAATTTGCAGGATTGGTGGGCCTTGCCATGAGGCTGCAATACACCTTCATGTCCCTGTGTTTGAGAACATTGGCTTGGATGATTCTTTGGGGTATGTTCTCTCCAATGAGAGCCAAAGCCATTGTGTAGTGTGATGAAGGAATTTCTTCAAATTGTTCATGGCTATTGGCTACCATTATACTGTGATGACTCATCAATGCTTGGATATTTCTTCTTATTTTATTACTGCTATATTATTATTATTATTGATATTATTTCTGTACCAAACATTATTTGTTATCACCTGCTGATGTTAGTGAATATTAACACGTTATTTCCCCTTCTTTTTCAGCATAGTTGTAGATCCTACCAATCTGAGTGATGGTTTACACTATTATGAACTGTGTGGGATTGATTGCAAAGCCCCATGGCGTGGTCCCGTTTTCAGAATCCCTGTTACTATAACAAAGGCGATGGCTGTGAAAAATCAACCTGCACTACTTTCATTTTCAGGGATGACATTTCTTCCAGGTGATTATTGTGGTGTCAATTTGCAAATTAATATTAATTATTCTAGCAATTATTTATCCTCCATGACAACTTGCACTTCTCAACAACTTAACATTGTTCTTGCATTCTATGTCATGGTCGTGTTAAAATGTTTGTATGCGAAAATACTTATTGAAGGTAATCAACTTGTAGGTAATCTGTTTGTGTGAATCATATAGTTTTGTTAGCCCAAATTACACTAGAAAGTCAATATGATGTCTGGGAAGTTGAAAAACTGATATGGGCCATGGTATAAATTCAAATGTCAGTGAAAAGCAAGATGGAATGTTAATGAATGCTATGTCAAACACAAATTAATGATTGTATTTCCCTTGAACGTCAATTGCTTCGCCTGATGTAATTGAACTCTCTTTTTTAGGCTTGTTTCTTTTGTTTGATAAATCCAATTATGATATAGAAAGTGATGAAGATGAAATCTGCAATTAGTGTTTCAGAGATTGAATATCTAATGTTTGTGTGTGTTACATTTTTTATCTGCTGATTATTTATTTATTTGAGTTATTCGTTGTCGAATTGAACTAGCTGCTTAGACTATGGTTCATCGATTGGCACCCTTGTTTGTCATTGGCACTTCTCTGATTGGAAAATTATATTTGAGCAAGTTTTAGTTAAGTGTTTCACATGGAGACAAACTTAGTGGACCAGTAATCCTTCGGTGGTTGTTTATGGTTTTCCATAAAAAGCTCTTTCCAAGTGTCACATTTGTAGGTTATGAGACTTTCTTCAGAGAATTTAACAAAAATTGTCAGTATGTTGGATATGGAATCAAATTGATTGAATTCTTTGCAGAGGTTCATATTAGATTCCATTTATTTATTTATTTATTTTAGTTGTTACTTGAAGGTTCTCAATTGTGAATACTTGAACTGCTTACAGATCGAATTCATCACAGTTTCAAATTTTCTTTTGTCAATGGTCATGTATTCTCAAGTAGTATTATATAATTGAGAATACATGACAGCTTTATGAAGGATTGCAGTGCCCAATAAAAACAAATCACCTGAAAATCATTTTAGGTTGGGAGTCTTTCTTATTTTTTACGGTTTTTTTCCTTGCCTTCATTCTACCCTCAATATGTACAATTGTAGTAGAGAAGGTGCCAAGGGGGCACCTCCATCAAACAAAAGCGAAGTGAGAGATGAAAAAAACCACAAAAATAAAATAAAACCAACCGAAAAACTCCCAGCAGCACCCCTAGTACACAATGCACAGACACTTCCCATTACTGCTTCCGCCACAATACCCAGCGGAATCCTCTCTCTCCTGTCCTTCATATTTAATTGAGCAAACCTTTTACATTTCCCATGCTTCCTAGAAGAAAAGAGCCGCCTCCCCCTTTCTGCTTTCCTTTCAAGTTTCCTACCACCATCTTTTGCCAGTTTCCTCAAATAATTGTTCTGCTTCTGAGACAAAAACCTTTGTTAGAAGCCCCCAGAAAACCATTGAAATTTCTCTTATTTTGTTTCATCCATTCCAGACCACACCTTTTCTGTAGCACCAAAGAGATCTAAAAAGAATTAAACATCACCCTGTTCTACTCCACTTAGAGGTAGCACATCCATAGGAGGGCAGAAAACTGAAGATGACACCTCCAAATTCACCGTCCCACCATCACCTATGGTACCCCAAACCAGCTAACCCTTCTTAACTTCCCCTTCCGCAACTCCAGAAAATTTTGACCAGTACCCATCCTCAAGTAATCAGAAGGCACTGTCCTCGGAAAGACTCCTATGAGTTTGCTTGCTCCTAGCATCCCAAAAATCCGCTGCTCTTAACTCCAATGGCCTTGACAAACTGCTCACATTGTTACCTTTTACTAATACTGCTCGCATAGTTTTACCTTCCTGAACCTCAAACTTATCCACCTCTGTATCTGACTGCCTCCATGCCTCTACTCCTTCTTTGGTAGCCCATATTTACTCAAAGGCCTTGCCTTTCAACTTTCGGCAACCAAAATCTTTAGAAGTAGTTTGCAACCCAGGAAAGCATCCATTGGGCCATAAAAAATGAAGTTGATCATCTTTAGTTGCTTCTCAAATATTTTCTGGTTTCTTTGGGTTTTCTGTGAATCACTCCTTGGACTGAATGTCATTATTTATTTTGTTCTATTTATCATTATTATTTTTGAAGCTTTTTTGATTTGCCTTCTCATTTGCCTCTTTCATAGTGTCTTATTACTCTACGACTAGTATCATTGCTATTCTCACTAACTAATTCCATGCTCATGCTCTCTCTCTCTCTCTCTCTCTCTCTTCATGCTCTGAGAATGCTAATCTGTCATGGTGTATTATATAGATGATACTACTTTGGTGGGCCTAGCATTTGCATGTTTCTATCAATTGGATACCTTTGTTATTAAACTTTGCCTTATTAAATTTAATGTCTTTAATAAAAATGGGGTTCTGCTAGTGACAACCTTAAGGGCTATCAATAAGAAGAGCCAAATGCCAAAATATTTATAATCTCAATACATTTTTCACATATTCCAAAATACTCACACATTTTACACATTTTTTGAGCCTGAAGGGCTGTTTTTAGCATTTGCGATAAAAATAAGCATGTGGGGAATTTTAATTCATAATCACTTTTACATTATCACATTAGACATAGATTAAGGTGCAGATCTATGTAACAATTGGTTTTTTTGACAATCATCCTCTTATTCATAAAACGTGAGATTGTGTATATTTTTGTAAAAATTAAAAATCTATGTGGTGTCTCTCTGAATTTTGTTTTTAGTTTGCACTAGTGACTAAGTAGTTACCATTTTTGTGTGTGTGTGCACAGATACAGCGTATAAGCATGTTCTGATGTGCTGTGAGTGAAGGATATAACCATTCTCTTTCCTTAATTAATTAATTATTTTTGGGTTTGCTTCCTTCTGAATGTATTGCTTAATAGGCCATATTGAAAGGAAATATATCAAGGTACCAATTGGTGCTTCTTGGGTTGAGGCTACCTTGCGGACATCAGGGTTTGATACTGCTAGAAGATTTTTTGTTGACACTGTTCAGGTACAATATGCAATCAAAGCTTTTGTTACATTGTCTAGACCTTCTTTGACATATACCTGCAATATACAGATCAGTCCGTTGCAAAGGCCTATGAAGTGGGAAAGTGTCATTACATTCTCGTGTCCTTCTGCCAAAAGCTTTGCATTTCCGGTGGAGGGTGGTCGGACAATGGAATTGGTGATAGCTCAATTTTGGTCAAGTGGCATTGGAAGTCATGAAGCCACTGTTGTAGAGTTTGAGGTAACATCTTTTGTTTTAGATATCTGAAAATGCTGTGTGACTGGATGTTATATTACTTACATTTTTGAATTGTTAGAATTCTGTAAATTTATCATGTTTTTATGGCACTGGAGGGTATGGGCTTAGCATCTTTACTGCTAGATGTAAATTTTCTTATGTTTTTTATGTTATTATTACTATTTATTTATTTATTTATTTTTTATTAGAAAAAAAAACTTGTTGTGCGACATTGTCTTGAGTTTGAATTTGATTTTGGAGGTAACAATTCAGATGTTCCAATAACTCTTTGGGGACGCAGTCACATGTTGTAGTATTGGCTATTCGGAAAATTATACTCAAATAATTGAGTTTTGATGTGCATTCTGCACTCCTATTTTTGGTGTGCCAGCAGGCTAGCTTTGTGGGGGTACTGTTACATATAAGCATTTGTTTTCTGTTAAAATGTCCCTGATAGAAAGTTTAACCTTGCTGATTTCCCTTGAGTAAAACTTTATTGTCGAAAACAAGGATCTAGAGAACCACCAAATTATTGAACAAACTACAAATTATAAACTCGCAGCTTGACGACAATACCTAAGCACCTAGGTGTAGCAATGGCAATCACGCAAACAGTGAAATGCAAAATTTCATAATTTTTTTACTTAGTATTTTTTATAAGCATTTCATTTTACCTTGTTTAAAATTACAAAAAAAAAAAAAATAATAATAAAATAAAAAATAAAATAAAATAAAATAAAAGATTAAGAAAAAATCTCTTCCTTGAAAATTTTCTTAATATTTTTTATGCAGCAACTTCAAGAGACATACATCCCATAAATTTAAATTCTGTTTTTGTGTGGATCTTTATAACTAGCTTAGCAGGGAGAGCTTTATGACATTGGCAGCAGCCAGTTATTTTCTGTATGAACCCTTCTATTTTTATGATTTGCTTCACCAAAGTAGTGGTTGTGAATTTTATGTTGTCTCTTTTTAAAATATGAATCAATTTGATAGCGGGTACGAAAGTAAAAGCGCTGCCCTGGCATTGTCACAGATATATATATATCTATATTTTTGTGTCTATAATGCCTGGAATTTCTGTGAGTGCCAATTTTTTTGTTGTTTACCTTCTTATATGGTTATGTTGGCCGGCTGTATTTGCTTGTTTTTTCTTTGTGAATTTGGCTATGTCAAATTAGGTGCTAATCTTTGTCAATCTAATGTCACTCCCTTGTAGTTTGAGGTCTTATAAAGGCAGAAGCTGTTGTTTATTTTATTGTCTTTTATTATTTCTAAGATTGTGATAGGAAGTGGCCTTATTCCTTTATTCATCTTAAAGCCTTTTCTGTGTTTTTTATATCAATTTTTAGATTGAGTTTCATGGGATTAATATCAACAAAGGAAGTGGTACTAGACGTACGGGACACACCAGTTAAAATTGATGTGATGTAGGACAGCTTGCTGAATTTTTAAAACAGAAGATATTTGAAGGCTCAAACAGTGAGTAAGGTTTTAATGGTTAAATTGAAGGCTGATAGGTAACAGAAGGGATTAGGGTTGATTTGGGGGTGATAGAATAGAGTTTTGATGTTGAAAAGTGCATTTTTAGAGGATTGTGAATGGTAACCCAAGAATAGTAACTTGGGTCTATGCGCAAATAAGAAGAAAGAGAAGTAAAAGAAGACAGAGAAAGAGGTGCTTCACCCTCACAAGGGTTAGGTCAACCACAAACACAATTTCAAATTATCATAATATCAACTCCTTTTTGAATTGTTGAGATTACACATATATTTACATGCTAAAGACTCCTAATCCTACAAGGACTATCAAATTTTGAAACTAAGAATTTTTGACAATTACTAATATTCTAGACCAACTAGGACTCTAAATAAAATTCAAAGAACATTAATTGACATGCAAGACAACCCATGGACTATGACTAACTACTACTAATGTCCAACAATTATTGAAATTACCATAGCACCTCTTGAAATTACCATAGCACCTTCCAAGTACTTGTACCTAATATGGTGACATAAATTTGTCCACCACTAATTAAAAATAGGCACTATTAAAGACTTAAATTTATTCCAAAATTTCAATCCATGATGTCATATATATGCTCCCTTTTTCTTCTTTCCATGGTCTTCATATTGTTTACCTTCCTATATGCTTATATTGGCTAGTTGTATTTCCTTCTTTTTTCCTTGAGAAAATTGGTGAAAAGTCCATTTTAAAAAGAGGGTATAAGGCATTAGATCCAAGGTAAAATCTTATTTGGTGATAAGGACATGCGGGAAAAGTCGTATCAATACATGAATATGTGCAAAGGCATTTAATGGATACACAGGAGGGGATGAGAGTTTACAAGGGAAATTATTTAGAGGTGAAAATTGAGCACACGATTATTATAATTCAGATTGATGAAGCGTCAAGAGGAGAGCTAGTGGAGATCATTGAAAGGAACCAAATACGAAGTTTCTCTTTGAAGATTGATCTGGGAGGAGTTTTTTGGGCAATGCAATCTTTGAGATAAGCATGGGGGAAAATCAAGGACGAAAGATTTTTCAGCAAATGCAATAGCAAATCAGCAGTGTTTTGTTTACAGAGGTTCAACAACAAGAGAGGGATTTTCATAGATCCAAATGGATTTCAGGGGGAAAACGCAGTAACATTGTGATTCTGGCAGGAAATAATAGTTCTGGTTGGGCAGAAACTGCTCGGATGCTTGGAAGAATTATTAATAGAGATTTCAATGATAAGACGAAGGAGCAGGATATGAGGAAAATGATTAGGGAACGGGAGAGTCAGAGAGGGAGTTTGATGAATAGGGCTCAAGGAGGTTCTTCTCTTGTTGATCACGATGAATGTCAGAAAACAGGGATAAACAGAGCACGATTGTATGTTGACTTATTCAGAGCTGAATCAACAAAACAAGAGAGATTGTCTAATGATTTGGATATAGGTTGAGTTGTGGTCTGTACTAGAATTGATTTTTTCATCAGCTGGGATCAAATTGAGAAGGAATTAAGCAAATATCTTAAGCAAATTATTGTTCTTCATCCATTCCAGTTAAACCGAGCTTTGTTCTTTGCTAAAAACAGTGAGGATGCGGAATCCTTTGGCCAATATGGTTTGTGCTTCTTTGATAAAGGAATTGCAATGACATTGGAGAAATGGATGGGAGTTAAGCTCAGTTCTTCGGAGGTTATTGCATCGTATGGAGGCTGGATTGTTGTTTGTGATCTACCTTTCAATTTGTGGAACCAAGGGACTTTCGAGTTGATTGGAAAAAAGTGTGGAGGTTTATTGGAGATTGATCGAAACACCAAAACATTCGATAACCTGTTTGAAGGAAGACTGAAGGTAAGAGGTTCTGATTGTGGCTTTTTGCTAGCGAGAATGGAGCTGGAGATTGCTGGGATCTCTGTTCAAATTTGCATTAAGCCATTGTCAAGACTTGTTAGGAAGAAGGTGGACCAACGACAATGGGTTTTCTAGCAAGATTTCTTAGGCAGATCCAACAGTGGAGGTGGGGAAGACGAAACGTTGGAGGGGATGGGCAGGACACATGTCATATACATAAAGGGAAACAGTTAGGATGTCAGAGGATCAGAGATGGAGGTGGAATCGAAGCGTCAAAGGATCTTGAATTGAACGAGATGTTCTCTGAGAATGCGGAAGAGGTTAGAAGGGAGGAAGAGGATTTTGCTGGGCTGAATAAGTCTCAGGGTCAGAGCCCAAATGATCTTCAAACGTCAAGTGGGCTTGGCAAATTTTCAGCCCATGGTTTTGCAAAAGGGCTAGAGTTAGAAGTTGGGCCAAGATTAGAAATGAGCCCATTTGTTATTATTGAAGAAGGGGATCAACACAATTGCCTATTATTAAGACAAGAGGGTCAATCTTCTCAAACCAAGGCTTTCAACCATAGGGAAAATGGGTTGGATCATGATATTTCACGGGTTAGGGTTTCTTCTTGTTCGCCCGATACACTTGATGGAGGAGGAAGAAGGTTGATGGGTGGTGCGAGGCCTACCGAAGCACTGAGTGATAGGCAGAAGATCTCTGAGGTCCCAAATCTGTCCTCAACGAGTCTGAAATTCATTTGGGTTTAACAGACATTGTTAACAGATTGAAGGATGATGCTTTGTTATGCAGAATCTTGATGGCTGAGTAGGAGGTAGGAGGAGAGGCTGCGACACTCAATGATGACGTCATTGGGAGAGATCAGCTGGTGGATGATGTGGAGAAAGGAAAGTACAATACCCATGAGGTGTTACAAGCTCTTGAAGGCTACGGGTCAATGGACAGCTCAGATGAGTCGACATTTCTAGAGGATGAAGATGATAAATAACGAATTGTTAGAGGAAGATTTTGATCCCAAATTGAATTGGCTTTTCCAAGATGATGAGGTTCTGTCATCTTCTTGTGCAAGGTTCACTGAGGTCCCAGACAGTGAGATGGCCTTAGACTCCGAAAAGATTGATCAAGCAGAGAGAAGGTTTGGAGATTCACATTATTCTGGTTCTAAGCACACTATGAGGCCTGAGGGTGAGGAAGTCAAAAAGTATGTGACTCTTTTGATAGGGACAATATGAATTCTTCATTTCCTAATCATTTTCAGTGTATTCAATCTGAGTCAGTTCTAGGGGGGAGGGGGAGTCACTTTTGGGTCCTTTTTTCTCACATCCTAGTAGGGTAGTTTCTACCAAGAATGACAATTTGCCTCAGTTATTTGCGAGTAGGTCCTCTACCATTGATAGGTCGAACCCACAGGCAATTGACACGGATAACCATAGGAACAATCTTCCGATAGAAGTATCTTCTAATCATAGGCTTTAGGAGAGCAATGTTCTTGGGAATGGTGATGATGAATCTGAGATTTGGTTGAGGAAAATGAGCAAGTATGGGTCTTTTCCCTTTTGAGGAGGGAGAAGTGCCTCACTTTGTACAATTGCTTGACACTCTTGGTCTGTCACTAGTTAGGAACAGTGGAAATAAGCCTAGGTCTAGGAGTGTGGGGTGTGCATCTCAGGGGGGTAGTAGTCATAGAAGTTCGGGCCTCAGAAAAAGGATGAGGGAACTAAGGAATCTTGAAAGTGGCATCAATCAAGGAGTGATGTTGGTTGTCGATGAAGATTTTGAGTTGGAATGTTAGAGGACTGCAGTCCCGTAGGAAAAACAGTAATTAAAGAGTTTTTGAAATTTCATCCGCTAGATATAGTGATGTTTCAAGAGACGAAGTGTGAGAATTGTGATAGGGTTTTCATTAGGAGTGTTTGGGTGACCCAATTTAAGAGATGGCTGTTTTAACTTCTAGTGGGAGATCAGGGGGAATTTTGATTACGTGGGACAAAAGAGTTGCATCAGACTGTGAGATAGTTGTTTGGGTTTTTTCATTGTCTATTAGATTTAGGAACCAGGATAACAAGGAATGGTGGTTGACAAGGGTTTATGGTCCCAATAGGCTTAGTAGTCGTCAGGCATGGTGGGAGGAGTTGGCGGGTTTATTGGGTTGTGTTCTCCTAATTGGTGTGTGGATGGGGATTTCAATGTGGTTCGGCTTAGTTCGGAAAAACTCAATAGGGTTTTCACAAATAGGAGTATGCATAACTTTGATTCTTTTATAAAGGGGAGTGATTTGATTGATCTTCCCTTGAGTAATGCTCAATTCACGTGGTCAAATCTTCAAGAGAATCTTGTGTGTTATAGGTTGGACAGATTTCTTTATACTTTATGGTGATAGGAGTTGTTTCTGGATATAAGGCAAGAGGCAGGGCCAAGAGTTGTGTCAGACCATTGCCCGATGATTCTTGAGAGTTGTCCTTTTAAATGGGTTCCCATCCCTTTTAGATTTGAGAACATGTGGTTGGAAAATCGATATTTTAAGGCGTATTTTAAGGATTGGTGGGATAGTGGTACCGTCCATGGGTGGGAGGGTTTTAAGTTTATGCGGAAGTTGAGAGGAGTCAAGGATAAATTAAAGATTTGGAAGTGAATTTTTTGGGGATTTAAATGAAGTGAAAGCGGAGTTAGTTCGGGATATTTGAGGAATTGGATGTGAAGGAATTGTTGGGGGAAGGGGGAGTTTATCTAGGGATTTAAGGGATCGGAAATCATTGCTCAGGATGAAATTAGAAAAGCTTGTTTTTGGAGAGCAGATTTTTTGGGGACAGAGAGCTAATTGAAATGGGCTAAAGAGGGTGATACCAACTCTAGATTTTTTCATAGAGTTGCGTCGGGCAAGAGGAAGAAGAATTTCATCAAAAATTTGGAGGTGGGGCAGGGTGTGGTGGTGAGTAAGGAGGAGCTTATTGTTAAAAGAGATTTTCAATTTTTATTCAAATCTCTATTCTTACGGGGGAGTGGATCATCCAGGGATCGAAGGTCTTAGTTGGGCTCCTGTGGAGGCGGCGATAACTAGTTGGCTTGAGAGACCCTTTGATGAATGTGAGGTGAGACAGGCTGTATTTAAGTGTGAGAGAGATAAGGCTCCAGGTTTGGATGGTTTCTCAGTGGCTATATTTCAAGATTGTTGGGATATTGTGAAAGGAGATCTTATGAGAGTGTTTGGTGAGTTCTTTGAAAGTGGGGAGGTTAATTTATGCACCGATACATCCTTCATTTGTCTAATTCCCAAAAAGGAGAAGTCGGTTAAGATTGGGGATTTTAAACCAATCAGCTTGGTTACATCACTCTACAAAATTCTAGCAAATGTGCTTTCTAAGAGATTTAGGGTGGTCCTTGGGGAAACCATTTCTTCTACATAGGGTGCCTTTGTGCAAGGAAGGTAGATAGTGGATGTAGTCTTAGTGGCTAACGAAGTAGATGAGGAATATAGGAGATTACATAAGGAGGGTGTTGTTTTTAAGGTTGATTTTGAGAAAGCATATGACCATGTTGATTAGGGCTTTGTAGATGTCGTTTTGTAAAGGAAGGGGTTTGAATCTTGGTGGAAAATGTGGATTTGGGGGTATTTGTTGTCATACATTATGTCGTTCATTGTGATTGGTAAGGCTGGGGATTCTTTTAGAGCATCTAGGGGTCTAAGGCGGGGTGATCCTTTATCACCATTTTTGCTTATTTTAGTCGCTGATGTGTTGGGTCAGATTATTGATATAGCTGGGGATAAGGGTGTCATTGAGGGTTTTGTGGTGGGGAGGGATAGGATTGGAGTTACTCATTTGCAATTTGCGGATGATACTATATTTTTCTCATCAAAGGAGGAAAGTAGGTGGGTAGTTTTGAAAATTTTTGAAATTGTGTCGGGCCTCAAGGTCAATCTTAGCAAGAGTAGTGTTGTGGGTATTAATTTGGGAGATAGCTATGTGCAAAGTGCAAAGGGTGGCGGATATGTCAGGATGTTCCATTGAATCCTTTCCTCTCAAATACTTGGGGCTTCCATTGGGAGGAGATCCTAGATTGACATCTTTTTGGGAGCCTGTTCTTGTCAAAATTGGGAAAAGATTGGAGAGATAGAAGCGAGCTTTGTTGCCTAGGGGGGACGATATACTTCGGAATAGTCTGTATTAGGTTTTGTTCCTACTTATTTCTTGTCCCTATTCAAAATTTCAGTTAGCATTGCGAGGAACATTGAGAAATTGATGAGAGGTTTTCTTTGGAAAGGGTGTGAAGAGAGTAAAAGGGTTCATTTGGTTAAGTGGGAGACTGTTTCTCTCCCTAGGGATAAGGGGGGCCTAGCTATAGGCAATATCATTGTTAGGAATATTGCTCTATTGGGCAAGTGGTTGTGGAGATTTCTTGTTGAAAGTGAATCGCTATGGTGTTTAGTTGTTAAAAGCAAGTATGTAGTTCATCCCAATGGTAGAGATTCTAACGTGGTTAATAGAGGCAATTGTTGTTCACCGTGGAGGTACATTTCTTGCTTGTATCCACTTGTGTCTAACTTTCTTTCATTGAGTGGGAAATGGGGAGAGTATCTGTTTTTGGGAGGATGTTTGGTTAGGGGATATGTCGTTTGATGGAGCTTTTCTCTTCTTTATCAGTTAGTTTGTTCTAGAAATGTTTCAATAGCGACGGTGGCATACTCTTCTATGGCACCCATCCCTTGGAATTTTGACTTCTTCAGAAACTTAAATGATAGGGAGGCTGTTGAGTTGGCATCTTTGTTGGTTTTACTTGATGGGGTTTCTCTCTCTCTTCCTCTCGTGACATTAGGGTTTGGAATCTTGTTTCTTCAGGGGTCTTTTCCTATAAGTTCTTTTTTCATATGCTTACTGATAATCCCTTTGTTCCTTTGTTTTCCATTTATAAGAAAATTTGAAAAGCGGTCGTCTCTCATGAAGTGAAGTTTTTCCTGTGGTCTTTAGCTCAAAAGGGTGTCACAACTAATGATGTTTTCCAAAGAAGAAGGCCAAATCATTCTCTCTGCCCTCAATGGTGTGTGATGTGCAAGAGGAATTCAAAGGTAGCAGATCATCTATTCCTTCATTGCCCGGTTGCTTATGGATTATGGCAGCATCTATTCAGCTTAGGAGATGATCAGTGGGTTGCTCTGCGAGAATGCATTCAAATGATTCTTGTTAGGTTCAAAGGGTTTGGGAGTACCAAAAGAGCCAAATCACTGTGGTCATGCATTGTGTTTGCTATTTTCTGGATTATATGACTGGAGAGAAATGTAAGACTCTTTGATGGCAAGGAATCAAATGAAGAGGCTTTGTGGGATAGGATGGAATATGTGGCTACGTTTTGGGCATTTGTATCCCCTCCTTTTAATGGAGTCCCTTTGTTCTTGGTCTCTAGGGATTAGGCTGCTATTTGCCATCTCTAATGCTAGGAGCTGTGTGCTTTTGTTTTGTTCTTTCTCATCCTTTGTGCGATGACTTCTTGTTCTCTTTCTCTTTCTTTTTTAATAAAATTTGTTGTTGCTCAAAGAAAAAAAAAAGAAAAGTCGCCAGCACCGAAAAATTGGCTGGAAAAGTCGGCGGTGGCAGGAGGTGGTCGTGGTGGGGTAGAGAAATGTGTGATATTCAACGGATAGGGTGTTGAATTAGTGACATGTGTCACATTTCAACAGATAGGTTATTTGGTGAATTTCAACATATAGGAAAATAAGCTTGGTGAATTTCAACAGATAGACAAATTGGGTGATTTCAAGCGATAGGGTGATAGGTTGATTTCAACAAATAGTTGTCGTTTTAGACAAATTGTGTCATTTTGACCTAAAGAGAATAGAGCTTGGGCCTAATAGTCCAAAAGATTTAGAAATGAACTTATGGCCCGAGTGCCTTTTTATTTTGTGAATTTGGCTATGTCATATTAGGTGATCATCTTTGTCAATTTAATGCCACTCCCCTGTAGTTTGAGATCTTATAAAGGCAAAAGTTGTGTTTTTATTTTATTTTATTGTCTTTTATTATGTTTTATATTGTGGTAAGTGGCCTTATTCCTTTGTTCTTCTTAAAGCCTTTTTCTGTGCTTCTTATATCATTTTTTAGATTGGGTTTCATGGGATTAATATCAACAAAGAGGAAGTGGTACTAGATGGAAGTGATGCCCCTGCCAGAATTGATGCTGAAGCTCTTCTATCCTCTGAGAAACTTGCCCCAGCTGCAATTCTAAGCAAGGTGAAGTTATTGCCTGTAATACAATATTTTTGGGGGCTCATGTATTCTTTTAAAATATATTTACATATGGTGGTGTGAGTTTCCATGTATTTTTATTTATGCAAGATGGTGTAAATTTTTGGAGGTTCATTTATTTTGCAGATACGAATCCCATATCGTCCTATTGATGCTAAACTGTGTACCCTTCCAACAGATCGTGACAAATTGCCCTCAGGCAAACAGATTCTAGCATTAACATTAACGTGGGTTATGCTTTTACTCCTCTATTTTTTTTTTTTTTTGCTTCATCTGAAGACACCTCAAATACCATGTAGATTAACTCTTGTGCTGTTGTGCTGCAGTTACAAGTTCAAATTAGAAGATGGAGCGGAAGTAAAACCTCAAATCCCCTTACTTAACAATCGCATATATGATAACAAATTCGAGTCTCAATTTTATATGATTTCTGATTCAAACAAGGTAATCATTGATATTCATTGTTAAATGTATCATGAGATTTTAATGTGCTTCTTGTATGTGTCTTACTGTGCTTGTTATTAGAAGGTTCCCACATAAATCAAATGCACTTACATACTTAGAAAATATGAGGAAGAAGAACTCTGAAAAATATGAGGAAGAAGGAATATATTTCTGTTATATTCAAAACTTCTTATCTTACAAGACCAAATGACACTCCTTATATAGGAGATATTACAAACTTCATTATAGCCCATTATATGCCACTTCCATATTATATATTACCACTATCTACCACTAACATATTATATACATGCCACTATCTACCACCAACACCACTATCACATATTCTATACATGCCACTATCTACTACCAACACCACTATCACATATTCTATACATGCCACTATCTACCACCAACACCACTATCACATATTCTATACATGCCACTATCTACCACCAACACCACTATCACATATTCTATACATGCCACTATCTACCACCAACACCACTATCACATATTCTATACATGCCACTATCTACCACCAACACCACTATCACATATTCTATACATGCCACTATCTACCACCAACACCACTATCACATATTCTATACATGCCACTATCTACCACCAACACCACTATCACATATTCTATACATGCCACTATCTACCACCAACACCACTATCACATATTCTATACATGCCACTATCTACCACCAACACCACTATCACATATTCTATACATGCCACTATCTACCACCAACACCACTATCACATATTCTATACATGCCACTATCTACCACCAACACCACTATCACATATTCTATACATGCCACTATCTACCACCAACACCACTATCACATATTCTATACATGCCACTATCTACCACCAACACCACTATCACATATTCTATACATGCCACTATCTACCACCAACACCACTATCACATATTCTATACATGCCACTATCTACCACCAACACCACTATCACATATTCTATACATGCCACTATCTACCACCAACACCACTATCACATATTCTATACATGCCACTATCTACCACCAACACCACTATCACATATTCTATACATGCCACTATCTACCACCAACACCACTATCACATATTCTATACATGCCACTATCTACCACCAACACCACTATCACATATTCTATACATGCCACTATCTACCACCAACACCACTATCACATATTCTATACATGCCACTATCTACCACCAACACCACTATCACATATTCTATACATGCCACTATCTACCACCAACACCACTATCACATATTCTATACATGCCACTATCTACCACCAACACCACTATCACATATTCTATACATGCCACTATCTACCACCAACACCACTATCACATATTCTATACATGCCACTATCTACCACCAACACCACTATCACATATTCTATACATGCCACTATCTACCACCAACACCACTATCACATATTCTATACATGCCACTATCTACCACCAACACCACTATCACATATTCTATACATGCCACTATCTACCACCAACACCACTATCACATATTCTATACATGCCACTATCTACCACCAACACCACTATCACATATTCTATACATGCCACTATCTACCACCAACACCACTATCACATATTCTATACATGCCACTATCTACCACCAACACCACTATCACATATTCTATACATGCCACTATCTACCACCAACACCACTATCACATATTCTATACATGCCACTATCTACCACCAACACCACTATCACATATTCTATACATGCCACTATCTACCACCAACACCACTATCACATATTCTATACATGCCACTATCTACCACCAACACCACTATCACATATTCTATACATGCCACTATCTACCACCAACACCACTATCACATATTCTATACATGCCACTATCTACCACCAACACCACTATCACATATTCTATACATGCCACTATCTACCACCAACACCACTATCACATATTCTATACATGCCACTATCTACCACCAACACCACTATCACATATTCTATACATGCCACTATCTACCACCAACACCACTATCACATATTCTATACATGCCACTATCTACCACCAACACCACTATCACATATTCTATACATGCCACTATCTACCACCAACACCACTATCACATATTCTATACATGCCACTATCTACCACCAACACCACTATCACATATTCTATACATGCCACTATCTACCACCAACACCACTATCACATATTCTATACATGCCACTATCTACCACCAACACCACTATCACATATTCTATACATGCCACTATCTACCACCAACACCACTATCACATATTCTATACATGCCACTATCTACCACCAACACCACTATCACATATTCTATACATGCCACTATCTACCACCAACACCACTATCACATATTCTATACATGCCACTATCTACCACCAACACCACTATCACATATTCTATACATGCCACTATCTACCACCAACACCACTATCACATATTCTATACATGCCACTATCTACCACCAACACCACTATCACATATTCTATACATGCCACTATCTACCACCAACACCACTATCACATATTCTATACATGCCACTATCTACCACCAACACCACTATCACATATTCTATACATGCCACTATCTACCACCAACACCACTATCACATATTCTATACATGCCACTATCTACCACCAACACCACTATCACATATTCTATACATGCCACTATCTACCACCAACACCACTATCACATATTCTATACATGCCACTATCTACCACCAACACCACTATCACATATTCTATACATGCCACTATCTACCACCAACACCACTATCACATATTCTATACATGCCACTATCTACCACCAACACCACTATCACATATTCTATACATGCCACTATCTACCACCAACACCACTATCACATATTCTATACATGCCACTATCTACCACCAACACCACTATCACATATTCTATACATGCCACTATCTACCACCAACACCACTATCACATATTCTATACATGCCACTATCTACCACCAACACCACTATCACATATTCTATACATGCCACTATCTACCACCAACACCACTATCACATATTCTATACATGCCACTATCTACCACCAACACCACTATCACATATTCTATACATGCCACTATCTACCACCAACACCACTATCACATATTCTATACATGCCACTATCTACCACCAACACCACTATCACATATTCTATACATGCCACTATCTACCACCAACACCACTATCACATATTCTATACATGCCACTATCTACCACCAACACCACTATCACATATTCTATACATGCCACTATCTACCACCAACACCACTATCACATATTCTATACATGCCACTATCTACCACCAACACCACTATCACATATTCTATACATGCCACTATCTACCACCAACAAAACTAGTCATGTGATCGGAGGCACCGGAATCTATGATCCACGGAGAGAAGTTTAGGCAAGAGAAGGCTTTAGGATTTCTACCTGTTTGTGCCAACAAAACACTAGGAGTACCGGATGAGGAGTTGGATTTTATCAGCTTCAAGAGTTGATTAATCTGCTCTTTGTTGAAGGGACCTGAATCGGCTTCATTAGCGGTAGGAAAGCCATGATTCTTCTCTCCTTGTTTGCTGCTTTTCCAGTTGACAGGTTTGCCATGGATCGTCCAACACGTTTCGCGTGTATGGCGAGGCTTGTTGCAAAAATCACACCAGACCCGTGGCTTATCATCAAACCTGCGCTGGTAATTTGCAGCCTTGTTGGCCGCAGCATCGCTAATTAAAGCAGAAATTTCAATTGATTCACCAGTACCTTTTTTCTTAAGCATGACGCTCCTTCGGCTCTCTTCCCTTCTGACTTCGGCAAATACTTCGCCAATGGATGGGAGAGGAGGTCTGCCAATAATTCTTCCTCGCACTTCATCGAACTCAATGTTGAGGCCGGCAAGAAACTTGTAAATACGGCTGTCTTCCACAGTTTTCTTGTGGTGGTTGCAGTAGTCAACCGATTTCCATTCGTATGTGTTGAAGATGTCAAGATCCTGCTACAACCTTTTCAATGAATTGAAATATTTGGTGACGGAATCATCTCCTTTACGAATCTCTCCCAACTTCAAAGTTAATTCGAAAACTTGAGATTGATTTCCTAGGTCAGAATACATCTGACTAACATTATCCCACAACTCTTGTGCAGTAGTATAGTACATGTAATTAGAGCTTATATCCTCCTCCATGGAATTGACCAACCATGTCATAACCATGGAGTTTTCAGCGTCCCAATTGTCGAATAGCGGATCATTAACGGCAGGAGCCTTCTTGTCACCAGTGATGTAACCGATCTTTCCTTGCCCACGGATATACATCCGGACAGATTGTGACCAGCGGAGAAAATATCACCATTTAGGCGGATGGTGGTGATTTGGACAGAGTGAGAGTTGGACGTTTTCACTGGAATGGCAGCGGCAGGGGTTGAAGTGGTTTCGGACGTGACTTCCGACATGGCTATGACGGTTTTTGGGCTGCTGTGTTTTTTGTTGCTCTGATACCAACTTAGAAAATATGAGGAAGAAGAACTCCGAAAATATGAGGAAGAAGGAATATATTTTTGTTATATTCAAAACTTCTTATCTTACAAGACCAAATGACACTCCTTATATAGGAGATATTACAAACATCATTATAACCCATTATATGCCACTTACATATTATATATTACCACTATCTACCACTAACATATTATATACATGCCACTATCTACCACCAACACCACTATCACATATTCTATACATGCCATTATCTACCACCAACGCCACTATCACATATTCTATACATGCCACTATCTACCACCAATACCACTATCATATTATATACATGCCACTATCTTATTATTAACACAAATTTCCAGCATCCATTTTTATCAAGTCATATTTGTTAGATCACCATTAGTCTAAAGCTTAAGCTGTTAGGAAATGAGTC